CCAGGTCTCCTCACACTGCTTGCCAACCAGGTCCCCAACTGGATCCACAGAAGTCCACTGAACATCGTGGGGCTTAGCATGCCACTTCATTGCTGCTTTGACCCTACTTCCCCCCATTGGTGATGTGTGTGGTCACCAATCAGAGCGTGCATTTCCGTTGAGTCTTAGTCTTGGAAGGGGGTTTGCGTTGAGAGGACCTGGCCACTTGCCTTGATGTTTCCTAAGGAAGCGGTTTGTTTGTTCTTGTATTAATAGTCCATCTGCCTCCATTTTTCCTGCAGGTTCCTTCCATCTTCTTTTGATATTTTTTGCACCATTCAATATTTTGTTCATAGAAACTTTCAATATTGGAAGCCATGGCTTGAGTTTTTTCTTCAGTTCTTTCAACTTGAGAAATGCTGGGTGTGTACTTCCCTGTTGGTTTTCTAACTCCAGGTCTTTGCACATTTCATTATAATATTTGACTTTGTCTTCTCAAGTTGCCCTTTCAAGTTTTCTGTTCAGTTCTTTTACTTCCTCCTTTCTTCCATTTCCTTTAGCATCTTTCCACACTGGAAAGCAAGTTTCAGAGTCTCTTCTGATATTCCTTTTAATCTTTTCCTGCTTCCTTGTCTACTTAATGATCTTTTGCTTCTTACCTGTACAGTGTTCTTAATACCATTCCACAATTCTTCTGGTCTTCAGTCATTAGTGTCTAATGCATCAAATCTGGTCTTGGGATGATCTCTAAATTCAGGTAGGATATGTTCAAGGTCATATTTTGGCTTTATTAAACATGTTTTAATTTTCTTCAGCTTCTGCCTGAACATGCATATGAAGAACTAACGGTCTGTTCCACAGTCTGCCTTGGACTTGTTTTGGCTGATGATATGGAGGTTTTCCACCTTCTTTACTCAAAGACACAGTCAATTTGATGTCACTGTATTCCATCTGGTGAGCTCCATGTGCATGTTGTTGTTGTTGTTAAGTGCTGTTGAGTAAATTCTGACGCATAGACTCTGTACAGGATTCTCATGGAACAGTTGATAGGTTTGAACCACTGACCTTGTGGTTTGCAGTACAGTACTGATCTGATGACAGCACCACACCAGGACTTCTCTGTAAAGACTATTGTTGTTAAGTGCCATTGAGTCAGTTCCAAATCTTAAGAGACCCAGTGTAGGGTTTTCGAGGCTGTAAATCTTTGTGGAAGTAGAAAGCCTCATCTTTCTCCCATGGAGCAGCTGGTGGACTCAAACCACTGATCTTGTGGTTCACAGTCCAGTGCTCATGCTACAGAGCTACCGTGTAGTAAAGATTACAACCTAAAAAATCCCATGGGGCAATGCTAGTCTAGTCTATCCTATGGGGTCACTATGAGCTGGAATGGACTTGATAGCAATGGGTTTGGTTTGGGTTGAATTTTGGTTTGGTTACTTCATCTAACCACCTTCATGCAGTACCTAGTGAACAGTGAAATGACCAAATAACCTTTTTAGTTGTTTTTAGTTGCCAATGAGTTGATTCTGATTCATGGTACGATAACCAATAGGAAGAGAAAAAAAATAAGCAGAGATAACTTAAAAAAAAGCTATCATTTTCTAAATAACTGAATTTGACTCTAAGGTACTAAGTAATAGTTTAATCACAGCAAATACCACCTGATAAAGAATGGAATTATTAAGGACTAAACTTTAGCAAGCATGGTAAAAAATAATAAAACTATTTCGAACTATAACAAAGTATATTATCATCTTTAAACATAAATATCCAATATAGAAAACATTTTTAAAAGACAAATCTAAATGTCAACATTACTAATCCTTTTCTTTCAAAAACATAACAAATTCATTCAATCAACTTTTCATCAGAACAGTAGGTGGGATAACTAACATCCTCTGGGCCAGCTGCTGCAAAGTGATGATGTGATAACATAAACAAAGAAGGATAGATTCAATATAACACATACTATAAATTCTATAAACATTATTTTAAAGCTAATTAAAAGTCCTCATTTATAAATAAATCTTTCAAATAACATAAAGATACTTACATCTCAATTTGTCCAGCATTTTTCCACCACACATGGTTGCTAGCATAGCTTTAACTGAAAATACCGTCAACTTGCCTCGGCCCTCACTGCAAAATAAATTCCATTAGAAATCATTGCTATCTGGAACCACAGGAATTATTCAAATGTATTGCTAAATATTATAAATATTAGTGAACTGATTGCTACCTTTACATGTTACAATTTTACCACGTTTAAAAACACAGAATTTTTTTTCTTGTGTAGACTTAAAGGTTCATTTAACACCAGGTAGAAAGTGCTATAAGGGTAACCTGAAGCATTTGGAAATGAGTTTTAGAAGCATCCTGCACATTAATTTCTATCAGCTATGTAGGCAGAAGCCAAATTTACCATAAATAAGATCCTCAGTGGAGGTGTTTTTAGGAATATAAAACGGAGGCACCACCTGGCTTGAGCAAAAAAATGTGGCCTCATATTGAGATATTATGTTATTATAATAACAGTTTATCATTATGCGCTTAACCAACAGAATACATGTTGTTATTAAGATTTTATAGGGCAATCATGTTTGTTTTGTTTTTTTCTCTAATAAGCATCATGTTATTATGCAAGTGTTTATTCTAAATAGCTCAAACAAATCTTCTCTGTTTGAGATCTTCTCATACTATCACTGAAAGAAAAATGATGGGAAAGGAATAATGATATTAATTCTTTTTTAGGAACTGAAACATGTGAATATAAATTAGTTACCCAAAAAGACACTGCACATCACACCAGCAGAATCAAGATAACATCACCAAGGCCTCTAGGCCCATTATATCATGCTCCATTCATTCAACTACGGCCTGGTTTCACAGCAGATAAAAACCACACTTCACCAACAGGATTTTAAAGTTACCATCTGTAAGTTAATAAAGGGCTTTTGTGTTAATTTCACACAGCTGTGCTCACAAAGGTTCATGGTAACCTAGGGTAAAAATGTTGTTAAGTGCCCTGGAGTTAGCTCCAATTCATAGTGACCCTGTGGACAACAGAAGGAAGTACTGCCTGGTCTCCTGCTATCCTCACAATTGCTGCTATGCTTGAGGCCATTGTTGTAGCCCTGTGCCAATCCACCTAACTGCAGGGGTCTCCTTTTTCACCAACCCTCTACCAAGCATGGTGTCCTTCTCCAGGGACTGATCCCACCTGATAATATGTCCAAAGTATGATTGATAAAGTCTGGCCCATCTTGGTTTCTATGAAATATTCTGGCTGTGCTTCTTCCAACACAGATTTTCTTTGTTTTTTTTTCTGGCAGTCCTTGGTATCTTTAATATTATTCTTCAAGCCATGGTATTTTCAATAGCCTCATATGGATGTGAAAGCTGGACAGTGAATAAGGAAGATCGTAGAAGAATGGATGCCTTTGAGTTGTGGTGTTGGAGGAGAATACTGAAAGTCCCATGGACTGCCAAAA